GGTGCTGGGCTGGGCTGGACGTTCCTCCCGTCCCTGCCGCTTTCACCTGCTGCACTGCTTGCCCCTTCCACACCGACGTGCAGCCTGCCAGGCTCAGCTCTCCTCTGCTGGGGTGCTTCCCAAACTGGAGATGGGACGGATGATGTGCAGGAGTGCCCTGAGGGATCCTGCTGCGTGCGGCAACCTCCAAGCCATCCTCCAGCCCCAGACCGAAAATCTAAAGAGCTGCCTCTCTGAAGACCTGTCTTAACCCCAGGAGAGGTCCTGAGGCCGAAGAGTTGTCCCCCGTGGTTAAGATGTGGGGCTGTAGATGGAGTTGTTGGTCTGTTCAGTAAATGCTGCACAATCCAGGGCTCTTGCCCTTTCTGTCAGGACACCAATTATCCTGTTGTAACAAACCAATTGGCTAATTCCCACATTTACCCAAACCTTTTTCTCCCTGCCCGGGCATTTCTACAAGCTTGTATCTGCTGAGGACAGCACCTGGAAATGTGTTTCTGATGAAAGGGTTGAATGGCTGTGGCTATATGTACCACAAAATCTCTGCCAAAACCGAACTTCTCTTTTAGCATATGCTCTGGAAATGCTGCTGGCTGGGCGAACCCAGGCAGTCCTGTGGCTTAAGCAGTAAAAGTCAACCTTTGTCCACTTTCATAGACATCAGGAGCTGACACCTGCAAAGAAAAGGCTGAATGGCCCCTGCAGAGCAGGAGTGACCTTTTTGGTGCAAAAACCTTTCTGCCCTCTTTTCAGTTAATCCTGATTCTTTCCACCTGATTAGCTAAAGCCTGGTAACTTGCAGTGAGAACAAAAGATGAGGAAAAGACCGACCCGTGTTTCTCTTCCCTTCATCTCAACCCCTCGGTCTCCACATCTTCAGTATGACCCAAAATGGTCCTGCTCTCATGAGAATGAATGTGAAATGACAAAAATAACTGAGTGATGATGTCTAGGGTGGTGAGAAATAACCAGGGCCTTACTGAACCTCCTGGGTTGATCTTCAGAGCAGTGGGTAAGGGGAAGAGCTAGGCTTGCCAGTCCTGGCTTCCCAAGATCTGCATGGAAGTCTGAGATGGTGTATCCTGGTGGAAAAGCACTTAGCTGCAAAAAAATGCTGTGGTTTTGGGGATGTGTTTGAGTAAAGTCTGTAGGGGAACGCACAGTAAAAAACAGGGAACTTGGAGCCCATCTCCTGCCCCGCTTGCAGAAATCTGCATTGGCAGCTCTTCTGGCAGCCAGGCTGGCCCTGACGTTGGCCCTGCGAAACCAGAGGATGTTGGTTTTGTGAAGTGCCACGGACCTGCCCGAGACCAGAACACCTACTCACCTGTCTGTCCCTCAGCAGTTGTTCTTCACCTGGGATCTCCTGTTTTGCCCTGCCTGGAAGCTGGGAGAAGCTGGGCAGGACTGTCTTGGCTGCTGTAGCAGGGTGGTGAGGGGGAAGTATGTGGGGGGTGAGGTCTGACACTGAGGTTGCCCTTGCATAGAGCATGACTACTGCTCTTGGACTGAAGAGGAAACCTCAGCTCCTGGTTTTACTGAGCAGGGTGTCTGAAGCCTCCCTCCTGGACAAGCAGGGTTTGGTCCCTGCTGATGGAGCTGCTGCTCCTCTGGTCCTGTGTGGAAGATGTGAGCAGTAGCCAGTTGCTTCCAGTTCCTCAGGAGCAGAGATCAGCCTGGTCAGGACAGCCTCAGTAACACTTTGTAACCCATCTAAGTGAAAAAGGCTCTGGCTTTATTTCAGAGACGTGACCATGTTTGTTTTGACCTGCGAGCAGTTTATTTCTAAGGCTACCCTGTCAGGCAGAGCTTTCCTAGCAGTGTCTGTGGAGTACCTGGAGCTGCTGTGCCCAGATGGCAGAGGGCTGAGACGGGCAGCAGAGAGCTGGGATGCAGCTCCATCTGAGTGGGTACTTATTCAAATACATGCATATGTAACCAGGGATCTGTGGAGTGCAAGACAGAACATGCAAGTAAAAAAAAGCAGATGTGGCTCTTCATAATCTGTCAGATGCTCGGAGTAAGGATTATAAAACAGACTAAATGAAAACTCATCCTGTCCTGGCGCCTTGGCCATGAGGTCCTGGAGCCTGGCAGGATGGAGGCTCTCAGCCAGCAGCATGTGGACACTGATGTGGAGGTGGGAAGGGTTTGCTAAGTGGGTCACGCTGCACTGTGGAGATGTCTGCTCCAAGGGCAGGGCTCGGAGGATCTGGGCTTGGGCGAGAGGCTTGCAAAGCACTGCTGCTTGCCACAGCCTGGCCAGGAAGTGGCTAAAGAAAGATGGGCAGGGGAAGCCTCCAGCAGCTTTCCTTTTCAACCCTTTGTGGCAGCAAATAAATTCACCATCGGACCAAGCTGCTGCAGGGCAGGAGAACCACTGTGGGGGTGCTGAGGGAGGATGCCCACGTGCCTTCACCAAGCAGTGGATGAGATGTGCTCCCATAAGCTGGGTTACTTACCATGCCAAGGGCTTCTGCTGGCAGAGGAGCGAAGATTATGGTGGAATACACCCAAAATATGGAACAGGCCCTTGTCCTTAAGGCAGCCCCTAGGAAGCAGAGATGGAGTAGAGACAGATGTGCCCAGATGCCAGCTCCTGGGCTGGGGGGCTGGTGAGGGCCTCAGTTGTGTTTGGGCTCCTGAAGGCATTTCCCAGCCGCTGGGACAGTGAGATGGAAACCCCAGTTGTGCATTGCCTTTGACCTGCCTTATGACCAGCTATGAGTCACTGCAGGATGGCAGTGAGGGGAAGCAAGGTGTCCTGCATGCCACTGTCAGGAGGTGGCTGGATCACCATCCCAGTTCTCTGTTATCTTTAGGGGAATCTAGTGGGCCCTTCCTGCCAGTCCCCAGACAGCTGTGTGGGTGGGTGTGCCACCTTGCCCAACTCTGGCTGTGTGGGGCTGCCAAACCTGGCAGAGAAGCAGAGACCTTTGGGACAGGGTTGTTTCTGCCTGGCAAGTCAAACATGCAGAGCTGTGAATAATTCAGTGCTGATTTGTCTAGTGCAGAGCGAGTCTGCAGCACATCAAACCAGCTCTGAAATCCTGCGGGTAGGATCTGGAAGGTTGAGCCTGAATAAATGAGCCTGCAGACATCCGGTGGCATGAACTTGATGCATCTGCATACATAAGAGTTCCCAGTTTGGACCTGGCTCAGTTTCAGTTTGCATAACACTCCTGGATCCTCTGGAGAGCCTCTGCTGGAACTGCTGTTTTAAGCCGGGCCTGGTGAGGAGCTGCTGAGCACGGTGGATGTGCTCAGCTGCAGCCATCCAGCCCAAGAGTTGTCTCCTTACTGTGTTTTCTCCCTTGCAGAATGTCAGGATTGACCCCAGCAGCATCTCCTTCGGCATGTGGAAAGACGTTCCCGTCCCCTTCTATATGTCAGTGCACTTCTTCGAAGTGCTGAACCCCAAGGATGTCCTCCGTGGAGAAAAGCCAGTGGTGAGCCAACGTGGACCCTATGTTTACAGGTCAGGCACCACTTGTGGTCTACCTAGGAGTGAGCCTGGCCACTGTGCTGCTTGCCAGGCTCCTGGCTGACTCCTCTGGCAGGGGGACGTGGCATTAGCATACTTGGCGTGAGTCTGGTGGCACAGGATTTTAGAGTGGCCCAAACATGCTCCCGTGGCTCTGATCTTGCTAAAGCCACAAACAGGACTTCTCACTGCTGAGGTTGTGAGGTTGGTCTGTGCTTCACCGAGTTGTGGAGCTCAGTCCTGTGTTGGGACCTGTTGGGTAGCCAGACCAGGGCTGATAGGATCCAAACACAGGTATGAGAGGTGTTGGGGTGTTGGTGGGCAACCCCCATCTTCAGGGTGGACTTGTTTCATCTTCACTGTGCATTTAAGAGTCCAGCTCCAGAGCTGGAGTCATAGAATCACTTTGGTTGGAAAAGATCTTTGAGTCCAACCAAATAGTCACCTCAATATCAAACTTTCTGGATTGGCCTAAGACCGTTTATCTAACATGAGACCTAGAATCTGCCTAACATGACTGCTCTGGCCATGAGAACCAGCATGGAGCACTAAAACTCAGTCAGGCCTACCTACAGCAGGACTGGGTCTATCTGCCATGGCTGAGGATGGTGGCTGGAGCCTCAGATGCTTCTCTTGACCTGAGACGTGAAGTGGCAGTTCATGTTGAGTTGAGCACGTGAACTTACCTGTAAGTAGTGATATTCAGCACCTTAGT